TTCTTCTTCTTCTTTCTTTCTCTCTCTCTGCTCTCAAGTTCATTCATTTCTTTTTGCAATGGGACGGCATTGTACTTTCTGATGAATGTATACTTCGATATTTTCCAGGATCGTAACATTGGTATCGGAGCGGATTCACTTGTTGGCGAGATTTGATTTTGCCGCCATAACCCTAACCTAAGTGGTAAGGGCTAACCACTTAGGGTTAGGGCTGGAAGTTAGGGTTAAGTGGGGCAGCGTGGTGAAGGGAAGCTGCTCCCACTTGGCATGGTCGTGTAGGGTCGACATTAGACCCGACCAGGTAGCTTGAGTGCATGTTTGTGGTGGCAAGACACAAGGTGGGACTTCATGATGCAATTTGAGAGAGGCGATAGTGAAGGGCACCTACAACTGGAATCTGGACTTCAAGGAAGACGAGGAGTGACTTTAGGGCTCCCCTCAAGTAGGCGAGCTTGAGGGTGGCAGCCATATCTGCACCTACGGACTGCAAGTTGCTACTTTGATCTTCAACATCGACGGGCGATCTGGCGTTGTACTTTGGGGTAGATGTTGACCCTGCTAGGTGATAGGACACTAGTGTAGAGGATGCTGATTGGGTGAGGAGGACTATATGAGAGGGGGTTGAGCTTCTTTCATCTCAAAGAGCCCGACCACTCAGGTAAGTGTCGTGCCGCCAGGGTGCCCATGTGTGTGTGCATGGAATTGACTGCCTGCTGGGGTATTCTGGGTTCTTCTTCCATCCTCCATAGTCTTGATCTTGTGTGAGGTGTGTGAACTGGTTACTCACCCGACGAGTGAATGAATGGAGTATCTTGTGTGCCATGCTATATCTTTCTACAGTGCTTTGTTTATTTCATTCTCAACGGCTGTAGTCTGTATGTTCTTTCTGGGGCTAAATTTCGTTTTTCAATTCGGTAGGGACAAAGAGTAGGTCTTTGTGGAACTCTTGTTGGTTGGGACCCGATTCTGACTCCACTAGGACCATTTGGGACTCAGTGGGATCGGGCCCAAACAAGAAGGGCCCTCAGGCCCAAATCTGTTGACATCAGTTACTTTGCTCTATTTGATTGGGACCCGAAGTTCATGCTTTCGGACCAGGACACTCTCTGCTGAGGGGATTTCAGCTGAGACATTGTAACAAACTTTACCACACGATCCGCCGCCTGACTCGCACCTTGGACACCATTCAATTCTCTCTTGCATTACGTAGTACACTTTGAATTTAATTTGTTGTGTCTTCACGGAGCTGAGTCCGGTTAGGCTTGAGAGGACCTCATACGTAGTCGGACCAGACTGTGTGGTAGAATCAGATCTCTCTTATCTTTTTTGTTGTTGTTGTTTGACTGCTCTCCAGTCCAAATGAATTGCCGCTCCGACTAGGAGTTCTACCTTCTCTTTTGGTTGCTTTCAAGACTGTTTCTTTCATTGGGTTCGTTAAATGCTTGCGTCTACACGATCGCAAACGAGAGAGAAAGAGAGAAGAGAGAAGCTTCTGAGTGTTGCTCTTGAGGGGATGAGGAGAGGGAAGAGGAGTGCTCGCCCCAAAACTGTGAGGAAGTACGGGCCCCTCTTGAGCGACTTATTGATACCCTCATCTTCCATCATGGCATCTGCAACAGAGTGGAAGCTGCAAATGGACGCTGCCCCTGATCCAGAAAAAGCGCAGTACCAGTTCTTTTATGAAAAAACGTTGAAGAGGGAAGAGGAAGAGAAGGAGAAGGAGAAGGAGAGGGGTGACAAAGTAAAGGCTCATGAAACCGTCTTCAGTACCGTGCCCGCCTTAACTGATGATGAGATGGAAGAGAAGACTGTCCCACTCAGGCGTTTAGTAGAGGTCTGGGCTGTTGAAGACCATACAGGCCAACTCGCCAAGGTGTTTGATGAACTCAAGAAGTTGCGTGAGGATATGGCCTTGATGGCTCAGCAGCACCGTTACCAGTTGCAACAGTTTGCTAGCTTGCAGCCAGCCCAAAGTGTCCTTCCGCCTGCTTACCCTGCTTCTAGTGCTGCGTGTATGTCCGTTCTTGACCCTCTAACCATATCTCCTTCTTCTTCTTCTTGTTTGAGTGTGGCCAACAACCTATTCGGATTTCCAGCAGGTCCATACCCCGTTGTTGCTGGTGCTGCTGCGGCAGCGGCAAGTGGCAGTGCAGGGCATTCTGGAACTGTTGCAACTCCGAATTCGGACCCAGCAACCGCTGGTCCTAGATGCAGCTTTCCTTACATGGATAGAAAGGTGGCACAGNCAGGGCATTCTGGAACTGTTGCAACTCCGAATTCGGACCCAGCAACCGCTGGTCCTAGATGCAGCTTTCCTTACATGGATAGAAAGGTGGCACAGATTCCGTCTAAATACGACGGAAAGGACGATATTGAATCCTGGATCAGCTCAATGCGATCCTACTTTGATGTGTTGGGGACACTCTCGGTTACTCAGTCGTCGGTCCTCGGGACCAATGTGGAACCCGCCGTAAGGGGTTTCTTAGAAATCCAAGCTGTACAGTGAAGCTATAAAAGAATAAATCTGAACAAATGGCTGAAGGCTACGCCTGTAGCCACGCTCGAAGAACTCTTGATCAAACAATATGTTGATCCGCATGCTGCAGCCAAAGCTAGACTTAAGATTGACAAGCTCAAGCACAACAAGTGGACCGACACCATGCATAGTCTGCAGCAGTATGTTAGTAAACTTTTTGCTACTCCTGATCTGGAGATGACTGCGCAGTCTTGTTTGGATGTGATTAAAGGTACGGTTCAAGCAACAACCGTTTTGCAGCGCAATATTTACTTTGAGGTTGACAAGGAGACCTTCGTAGAGGACCCTTCTCTTGATGACTATCAAGAGCGAGACTGCGAGGCATCTTGCTCTTCGTCAGCCCATGAGTCTGATTATGTGAATGATGATGAATCTATGAATGCCTTTAAAAATACTGCCTTCAAAAGTAAGGGACCGAGGACCACAGTG